ATATCTCCATTCGCTTCGCATTAACAAGTGTAAGTAATGCTGCTTCCAGTAAAAATAATATAAAACCTGAATAGGGGAGAAAAACAGCAAGATATTACGGAGTTTGTCGCTCGGCTGTGCCAAGAAAAAGAAATAGTGTCCCAAAACACGAATTGGTAGTGAATTTTATTTGATTGTGAATGAACAAATCTATACTCAAACGGAATATAGTACTATTAACACGTTGGTCTCAAAATCAGAGTTGCCAATTTCATTACGATACTCGTCGACTGAACACTAGGGCACTTCGCGGGACATGTTCTGGAACACTTTCCTACGTTGTAGCGACACGTAGATTTAATTTTGATTAATGTGTGTTGTTCTGTGTATTCGATGCTTAATTTTGATTTGGATTACATAAGGTGTAGTAAATACTAGCAGTTCCCGTACTACTTCATTCGTATAAAATTATAAAAAATATATTTTATTGTTTACATGTGTCAAATTATCTATTACAAATGTCAAAATAAAATGACATGATGACAAACCATGGCAATCTTGTTTCCTTATTAACCAACATAAACTTTTAGTTTATGGTCCCTCTCCGCCATGAAGGTTTTTTTCTAATTTACTTATCCCCCAAGTTAAATAGAGTAAAAATATATAGCCTAAAGCGTGCCGTAAGTGTAGGCCTTTTTATTAAAGAAATAATGATTCAAGAATATGCTGTGATTGCTGACATCCTAGGCTACAAAGTAGTGTTTGTTTACGCTTTAATATATTAGTATAGAGTATAGATAGAGAAGGTATGTAATGTAGGTGGACAGTGTGTGCGGCGCGGCGTCGTCCCGCTACGTGCGCGACATCTGCGAGACGGTGTGCGAGGAGCTGGCGCGGCTGGCGGCGTGCGCGCCCGCCCGCGGCCGCGCCGCGCTGCAGGCGCGCCTCGAGTACTCGCTGCTGCGCCTCGCCGTCGCACACCACCTCACCAGGAAGGCAGAGTTAGTTACCAGCCACCCACACCACAATACACTACCATGATCTAATACTTTTAATATAGAAAGATATATTTAACTCATTATACTTCATACTAATATTAAAATGGTTCCATAACCGCTTGCCATATCTAGATTTTTGGCACAGATGATGTAGATGTAATCAGCTACATTAACTATTAAGTTTTTTATTTAATTCCGGATATCATTTTCACAATCGAAGTTGCGGGCAAAAACTGTTTTTGACTAAAAAAATGATACAACCATAAATAGTTCATGTTAGTCTCTGCTTGTAATAAATGTTGTAAATATTGCAGGAATTATTTAATGGAGGCTCTCGCCGGCCTGCCTCCTTTGGACAACGAGGACGACAAGAAGTAAGTGTAAGAATGTGTAAAATTAAATATAGGTTATGTAAAGTGACTTTGGTTTGGTACTAGTTATAAATTTTTTTTAACTGAATTACTACTTTTTATAATATTTTGTTTAAATATATGTGTATAAAGGGAAGTAATGTCATTCATATTTTTAGGAAAATGGATGAAATAATTCAAGGATTTAAGAAAAGGATGGAATTACAACTGGCCAGCCTTAACTGCAACATGGAGACTGTTTAGTTTATATTTAAGAAGTTTATTGTCTTACGCTCTTTTTTTTATTTAACTAGTCTGTAATCTATAGTAAATAAGAAATTGTTATTTAATTAAAAATATTTTATTTAAATATATATTAATCGATTATAATGTAAGAAATGTCTAAAAATAAATATAGTATTCGAAGATGAAATGCATTTTTCTCTTTACTCCTGTTTCTCAACTTTCGTATAGCTCTGAAAATAATTAAAATTAAGAATTTGAGTTAATTCTACATTTAAATTTGGATGAGAATAAAGATTCTCATCCAAAAGCTATACTTATTTTAGACAAATAGTCTACAACATTTTGTAAGTAAAGCAGCTCTTAATACACATAATTAATTAGTACATAAATCAAAATACTTATTTTAAATCCATTAAAGATAGTAGCGTTTACCTCTTTAGCCAATTTGTGCAACATGGCGGCCATGGCGGGGCCGGTCTCGGCAACCATTTTGCGGAAATATCCCTTCTTGTTCTGCAGTAGAATATGCGGGTGATCATATTCCATAAGCCGACCGGCGTCTAACACTAATATCTGTAAAATACATTACAGTGGATTTTAAAACCTTGATTTTGATAGATTCTTTTCATTATTAAAAAAATTGGCACTTCTTATACGCGACCTGTCAAATAAATCAACTCATAGACATGGTATATGGTTTCAATTGCCGTGACATTCACATTAATAAATATCTTTATCACATTCATTTTCTTTGGATTAAAAAGAGACAGCAATATGTATCAATAACAAAACGAATATAGTGAAGTTGTACGGTGATAGTAGTCTATCTATCTATATCTATTCAAATAGTAAAATTTAAGTGTCTTTAATATGAAAAGAAAATTTCCAGATTTCGGGAAGATAATGTTTTTGCGTTGCTGAAAACGAAAATCGCATTTAATAATTTTTTGACTGTCTGCCCGCAAGTTGCGTTGGTTTGGGTAATCTCCGAAACGGTAGGGGACCGGACTTTCACTGAAGGGTAGCTGACATAGTCGGACATATTATAGGCTAATCTATTGTCTTAATATTGCGCAGACGAAGCGCGGACAACAGCTAGTAAAGATAAAAAAGTAACTTTATCGGAGTCAATGACGGTGTTGAGCCTGTGAGCGATTGTGAGCACGGTGCAGCGTTGGAAGTGCAGGCGGATGGCGGTTTGTATGAGGGCGTCTGTTTGTGCGTCCACGTTGGCGGTTGCCTCATCCAGTAGCAGCACGCGCTCGTCCCGCACGATGGCGCGCGCCAGGCACACCAGCTGCCTCTCGCCCACGCTGAAGTTGCACCCGCTCTCCGACACTTGCTTGTAGAGTGCTTCTAAACCACACGTGACGTCATTTATAAACCCGCTAAAGTACCAACTTCAAAAAAGATTGCTGCTTTCCAGTAATGTGTCACACATGAAAATGTCCTTGCAGACCATTCGATGGTTTTTTTATAGTGAAGCAACTTGACAATTTTTTTCTCTGACATTAATTTAAACAGAATTTTTACCAACGCCCTCGTCAGCTTTAAGTAATTCAACATTATTAAGAGCTTTTAACAGCGTTTCATCTGAGTACTCATCGAATGGATCTAGATTTTTCCTCATAGTCCCGCTAAATAAAACTGGTTCCTGAAATATACAATTCCTGTGGGAAAGTTGTTCTAACTTGAAGAGTATTTGTAAAATCCACATTGTTAATTGTTTACTTTACCTGTGGTATAATAGATATCTTTTCTCTCAAATCGTGTAGACCGATTGTGGATATATCGACGCCGTCTATTACAATGGTTCCTTCTAAATACGCCAGCCTGAATAACGCTTGAATGATAGAAGATTTCCCGGCACCAGTTCTACCGACTATGCCGATCTGTAAGTAATACTGACATTATTGAAACAGCTGTACTCAGAGTAATAATAATAGATATTTAATCCTTCGTTTAGTATACCGAAGGATATCCTTATTAACATGTAATTACTACAAGTAAGGTGGAAAACAGCTGAAGGATAATTGTCGTCGAAGTACATAATTGGAAAAATATTACATTAACTCAATGAAAGTATACAATGACATTAGTTACCTTTTCCTGAGGTTTTACGTTGAATTGCAGTTTATGAAGTACGTAATTACCATCGGGGGTGTATTTCAAACTTAAATCGTCAAAGGTCAAGGCTCCTTCTGGCGGCCAGTCTGCTGGCGGCGCTTTCTCTGCTTCCTAGGTATGAAAATGCAACATTAATTAGATTTAATAACTATGTAGTTTCCTAGAAAGAGATGGATTGCGTGAAAGGTGACATGATCAAGAAGGGAGTGATGACTGAGGTGACGGATGATAAAGTGCTTTGGAGGAAGAAAACCCGGTGCGCCGACCCTACAGGAGTAGGATAAGGCAGGGGAAATGATGAACTATGTAGTTTCTTTACACATTAAGTACCATTAAGGTTCTTAAATAAAAGAAACCTACACTTCTCAGGGCGGCCTCTTGCGGGAGTTTTGTGTATTCCAGAACTCTTTCGACGCTCGTCATTTGGTTCTCCATTTCTGCGGACTGGCGCATGCCCCATTGGAACACTCCAGTTAGTGATATCGATTGTGTGATTACAAGACCTACGTTGCTGCCTTCATTATCTAATGTTCAAAATAAGAATTTATTTACCACAAAAGTTAGCACTAGAACTAATAAAATCATTAATATAGTTAAAGATAAAAGTCATTTTGAGACGTTACCAGTTTTCATCAAGCAGCTGAAAGTAACACAGACGATGAACAAAAGACAGATGATATCGAGGAAGTATCCGAAGGCGCGGCTGCACGTAATGAAGAGGTACCAGGCGGCGCTGTGCAGGTCCTGGTGCCGGTCGAACTCCTGAGCAAGCAGACCTTCCGCGCCGAACGAACGGATCGTCGCAAGGCCCAGCACAGTCGCATTGACGTGCCCGAAGACGGGACTACGGGCTAGTGGAATAATCTAGCTGTAGTGTATACGCCTACACAATGCATGTGTTCATAGGTCAGGCTAAAACCTGATACTTTTTAGGTTACGGAAGTTATTGGTGCTGTTATTGTTATCGTCAGTCAAGGAAGTTTATAGTCATTACAAAGGTCAATCTTTGAGATGGTATTTAGGTAAGTCAAATCAGTACATTCTTATTCAACATAGTACTTACTGATTCCTTCTAATCGTTTTATAGCGCTGGTCGTACGTACATATATGATACGAAATATGTAGAAAATAATCAATGAAGTTGTTATAGGTATTAACATGGTTATATCTGTCATTAATATAACCACTATGACACCAGCCAGGTTCAGCATTATCTGAAAATAATGGCGGAGACAAAAAAATCAAAAAAGTCAAAACCAGTCACAGTTTTTCTTCAAATAAATGTAATGATTTCTGTTATATTTACTTGAAAACAATCGAGCATCGCTTGCGGTAGGAGCTCGTCTATAGACCCCATGTCTTTGCTAAAACGATTTAAAATCCTACCCGAAGGATTGGAGTGGAAGAAACTCATCGGAGATTGTGACACGCAGTCAAACATTTGATCATGTAACCTGCCATTAGAGAATATTATTTTCATGAGATTAATTGTTATTTTTAATAATAATGTATACTGACTTAATAGAAGACTTCATGCAAAGCGAGAAAAACATGAAGGCCCGACAGAGAGCAATTGCAACGGTAGCAATGGTCAGAATGCCGAAGATGATGACGTAATGTTTGCGGTACAAGCCGCCTTGAGACCACAATAAACGATCGATAGACGAGTCTCCCGTTAGATGGTCTTCGATTTGACTCCTAAAAAATAATAAAACAGAATAAGAACAAAATTTCAAGAGACAAAAATTTGTCATAAAAGATTGTAAAAATATCTTAGTACGTTAAAGTTGTATTTATTTAACTTCTACTCTACCTAGAAGAATATTCTCACCATTTACTTATCCAAAAATCACTAGCGCTAGCGAAGAATTGTGCTAAAAAGAACAATATGCCAGCGATAAAAACATAGATATACGAGGTCCCTGCCAGAAAATATTCTTGATATACCGAGCTGCGAACTCGTCCTATAGCTTGTGCCTCCGCTTCTGGCTTTTGATCCTGGAAATGTATAGAAATTTTAAGGTGAATAATACTAACATAGATTTGGTTCCTATTTGTAGACATCGTAAGTAAGATATATTCTTCTGTTACTTGGATGGTATAATACGAAAGAAATTTTCTGTTGAATAAATTAGGAATAGGTTATTTCTATAAATGGTTAGTATCACTAACAGCAACGCTGGCGTCCAGGATAATGGACCAATTTCGTCGTGACAGGCTGACCGCGCTCGTTTGCAGCATGGACTGGCTGGCCAGGTTCGGCACGGAATCGTCCTCACGCACCTCGCGTGTCTTATTTTGCATCAGTTGAATTATCGCTAGTTCTTGTTCCTGAATTAAGTTAAAGATTTGTCGTAAACCACTAATAAATCCTAGTGGTGGATGCCATCTATGTTAGATGTGAAAATAGTTTTATTTAGTAAAAAATTTACGTTCAAATCTTCAAAACCACCTTCTGCGAGAATTTTACCCTTATCCATTATTATAATTTGATCGACGGATTTTATAAATTGTATTTGATGTGTTACCAGTACGACTGTTTTACTTGCCAGATACCTAGGAGTAAACTATTTTCATTACCGGTACATTATAAGCATGAAGTGAAATTAATTCTGTAGAATTCAGTACTCAGTTACCTCTTAATGCACTTTTCAAAAATATGCCTCGCAACTTGAGTATCCACTGCAGATAGTGGGTCGTCTAATAAATATATGTCAGCCTGAAATTGTCAGTAACATCAGAGTTTCCAAGAATTTCATAAAAAACATAGTGTTCTAAATCTATAATTTTAAGTACCTCTTTGTAAACAGCTCTAGCTAAATTTATCCTAGCTCTTTGTCCACCACTCAGCGATACTCCTCGTTCGCCGACTACAGTCTTGTCACCGTGAGGAAAGAGCGATATATCCCTTTCTAATTCGCACACTTTGCAAACCTCCATGTATCGGGATTTTTGAAAAGGTTGACCGAATAGAATGTTTTGACGTACAGAACCTACCGGTATGCAAACGTGTTGTTAGTTTAATTTGACTCACAAATCAACATCGCAGGTTTCGCGAAGACGTTCAGTAGATCAACTCAACCAACGGTTTAATACTAGTGTACAGAATCGATACTATTTGATTCATCCTAACATTAGAAAAATGATCATTTGTCTTTGTTTTTTTTCTGGTTTTCAACATGAACTTGCCTACAAAGAGCCAGGGATCCTGACAAGCGTAGCTGAGGGTGCCGTTAACGTTGACGGTGCCGCGGGAAGCCGGCAATTCGCTCAGCATCATGTGCAGCAGAGTTGACTTGCCGGAACCAACCGCGCCTATTACAGTCGTCAGTGATCCGGACATTATCTACACGAGAGTAAAGAGGTAAGTTAATACACAATTTTATAAAGTTATGTTTGTTTTAAAACGCTGCTTACGTTAAAAGTAATATCTTCAACATCCTCTTCATTAGACGATTTTATCCAACGGCTAAATGCGTTTTCAAATTTAATTATAATTTCTTGCTTTATCGTATGTTCGCCTGAAATTGGAAAAGATAGCGTTAAAATGTATCACATATAACATTGTAGACAGAGTAACAAAAATCGATACTTTTATCTTTTGGAACTCCTTTAGAACTACTAGGTTCCGGTAGATGTCTCACAGGTGAATATCTTCTTTTCATTTCTACCGGGTCAACTATAAATAGGAACGCTGTGGTTAGTAACATCTCAATATCATTTGTTTTGATTTATTTTTGTATTACTTGAAATGGTAACTCTTTTCTTAGGTTTTTTATCCTGTATGGTTGTGTCGGCGAGCAGCAGCTCGCGAGGTGGCAGGTCACATTCCTCGCTCAATAAAAAATCTCTAATCCTCTGTATTGCAACATGCATTTCAGCTATCTGCAACCGAAACCTTTAATGTGTTACCATGAATTACAACTTAAAATTTTTAAATAAATGTATTTTTATGGTTATTCTTTCGAAGAGGCTCCGAAGGTTAATAGGTTTTCTTATTTTTACTTTTTTCACAAATTGCTTTTTCTTACTTGTCCGACAGCTTGAGGGAAGAACAGTGTCATAGTTTGCCTCATGATATTATAGTAGCAGGTGAGGAAGAATACGTTCTCAACAGTGATGCGGTTCACGTAGGTGACGTACAGAAGAACCGTAATGAAGATGCTAAACCGCGCAGTGAACATGATGAAGGACATTATCAGACCGCGGATGTATGACGTCATTTTGATGCAGCGAATTTCTTGTCTAAATTGAAGTAGAATGATGTATTTGTTGGTCATTAAAGGAACTAATCTCAATTTACCTATATTAGTCCCTTTCCCATTTCACTCTTTTCTTATAAGGAAAGGATTGGATGGGAAAGTGGATTTGACGGTAGGGGAGACGCATAGCAAGGGGAAATATCCCCTTTTGTGTGCATCTCCTCCTCCGTCGATTTAGGGTAGGCAACGCATCTGTAATTGCGGATGTCTGTGGAGAGCGGTTGCTCCGCCATTTTGGCGGATTTAGGTGGCTGCTTGCTCGTTTGCCACATTATTGTATAATATAAAAAAAACATAAAAACTGCTCGAAACATAATGCAATCAAGTTAGCAGTGTAATGAGTAAAACAAATATTAATTTATTTATTGCAAGTGCTTTATATATTTGCGTGTACGAGGATGTAGCATACCGTCTTACGGTATCGATTATCTTTCTAAATGGCATTTCCCACGTGTACATTTTGATCACCTCAATCCCCATCACGATCTCTTTCATTAATTTAACTCTTTCGTCAGATTTGAAAGCCGTTTGGTTTCTGTAAAACGCAGTTGCAACCCCGAGACATACTGAAATATATTGATTCATTATATTTACACAAAACAAAAGATATTAAATCTGTGTTCGGCAGCGTGAGGTTTATTTAATTAAATATTAATTACAATAATTTCTTATGAAAGAAATAATAAACTCACTTTGAAAAGGCACGACGGCAATTACAATAAGAGCCCCGTACACCGCGGATATACCCATTTCTCTATATAGGTAAACTGTCATTAGCTGGAAAATGTAAAATGAAATTAAAGCGGATCATAAATGTAAAATTAGATTTATTAATTACATTTGGCAAGAAACATTAAAACTTATGCAAGAAAGTATTCCCTTTCTGTCCTTGGCAACGTTACAATTACAGCTAGACAATGACATCGAGTGAAAACTGTTCTTGCCAAAAATATTTCGAACAAATAATAATCTAATTACATAGTACCATTGTTTCAACCGGTCCGATCCAAAGGTAATGGATAAATGAGGGTCCGGTGTCAAATCGGTTAACATCATTCGCCATGAGATTGACAACAAGCCCCGCGCTGTTCTCTGACATCGATTGCAAACTCACTTTTAAAGACTGCAATTAATTAGAGCACAAATTCAGAACAATAGTAAGAAGAGTTAGGTTCAACTACCAACATTTAAGACTACAAAGTTTATAATTTGTTCCCGATTTAAATTTAAGTTTGAATATCAATTACGGACTCGAAACTTGGCAGGGTGACATGTATCTGTTACACGGCTGATAAAAAAAAAACTCTTTGATTTACAATAAAAGGGTTTCACACCTTTCTATAAATAAGACTACAGACACCGACTCTCATTTTCATGCCGAGGTGTGTGACACCCATCATGAAGGGATGAGCGACCATGACGTTGGCGGTGCTGCAGAAGACCACGCCGAAGGCAAAGAATACTGCTTCGCCCCATAACACGCCGCTCTCCTTGTCGTAGTACGAGAACAACCGGGAGAAATATGTCGAATCTACTCTGCAAATAGTTACAAAAATTTGCAGTTGATCTCACATTTTTTTCCTACCAATAGTATTTTTATATTTAAAATCTAAGCCTCGTTTGAAAACCTCATTCAAACTATGTGCAGTCCTACATAGTTAACCAATCTTGGCATTCAACATAGCTAGTTTATAAAAAAAAAAGCGTTTTTTTTTCTTTGTCTCCCACACTTTAATTTGACCAGTGTTTTAATTTAACATTTTTAACTTGACATTAAGGTTACCTACCCTTCGGAGCTGTTTAAAATTACATAATATTGCTTCAAATTGTTTGACTTACGTGCTATTGTATAAATCTTGAGCTGGACTGTAATAACGCAGTAACAGGCCCAGAAACAGCGGCTGTTGTAATCTGTTACAAAACAAAACAATATGAAATGTTAAAACGTAACATTTTAAAAAGTTACATAGAATTCTAGAAATACAATGTAAACTTTGAATATTAATTGTAATACACATATAATTTAGTAAGCTATTACACCTTGTTCGTCTAAACATTGCTTTTTTTTTTTGTTTATTTGCTAATGTTACCTAAATTACTAGAGGCTCTCACCTTTGAAAATAATATTTCGAATGTTTACTGCCTAAAATATGTTAATTGTACCGTATTAAAAATTCCATAGCTGCCAATATCAATCCATACAGCATTAGTTCTGCGCCAAACACCTTCGTCAGCACTCTCCATAGACTAGGTTTGTTATTTTCACCAAGGTCGTTATAGTTCTCAAGTTCACGGTCCCATGCCTTCTGCATCGCATCACCTGTATATTAATTTATTGAATTGCAAACATCGTCAGCTAAAAAGCTTTGGTACATATTTTCCAATAGCTGTTAGTATTTCCTCCTAACCTAAAATATCCGATTGATGCTCAGGTAATGGTGCATACAAATCATTATCTCGTATGTCTCGACTGTAGCCAAGCTTGAATGTTTCCAGAGTCCAACTAAAACAATAGAAATGCGCTAAACGCAGCAACCTTTGATAATATTATACATTGCTTATAAACAGAATAATAAAATCTCACAGCTTCAACCCTGAGGATTAGACTGAGATTTTAAAATCACTTTAATCGTCTTAAGAAATTAATTCACGCCTCAATAAGTAGGTACCTCAGACGTAGATGATTCATATTCTAGGACCTACCCGAATGTCAGCACAGAAAACAGATTCGCTTTAAATCTCGGATTTAATATCCTCCTCTGCTTCGGGCCGGTGTCCATATTTTATTTGAATATCGTTTATTAAACGTAACCAATATCTTGTAATTACAATCATGTTGGTCGTGCAAACTCTACGTACTAAGAAGTAAACAAAAATATTGAATTATCTAAGTCAAGTAAACGTAGACATAAATTATCCATGAAAATTTACAACATTGCCGCTTATCGAGCTATTTTCTTCAACGTCTATTGTTTATGTTGGTTTAATATTAAGTTAACTTAAATGTCATGATAAATACGTGACTATTCGTTTAAATCTCTGTCTAGTACAGATATCAATAAAATGTACACAATTATGCCACCTGTGGATCAAGAACTAAAAGCATCTAAGAGTATTATGGAGATGAACAAAATTTCATTTTTAAAGGAATTATGTAACTTTTATTCTTGACTAGCTGTTGCCCGTTGGTCGAAATCGGCCCAGCTGTCATTCAGCCATTCGGAGATTACCCAGAACAAACGCGGCTTGCGGACAGAGAGACAAAAAAATGCAAGTTTCGTTATCAGCAACGCAAATACATCATCATCGTCTTCCCAAAATCTGGAATTTTTCTTTTGTCATTACAAACAGACACTCCAATTTTGTCAATTATCGTTGGTCTTTCAAGAATTTTTAGCCTGTATGTTTAATCTTTTGTAAATACTTGCAAAAAAAAACAAGTACATGAAAGGCGAACCATTCATCTTACGTCTACCCCAGTAAGAATAAATTAGGAATACCACGCAATACAAGCGAGTACATTGGAAGCACCATTTTGTTTTATTTAGTTTCTTTACACTGATTAAAATAAGATCGATAATTCAAACCTTATAGTATTCTATGATTTGTAATAGGGCGTTATACAAGCTTGTATATATGAAATTAAGTAATAGAAATATTTAGCAATTATTTTAATCTATAAAAACGACCGACTTTTAATTAACAGTATGTTTGGAACAATGAGTCGATTATTAGCGGTAGTTTTGCTTGTTGGAGCATGTTTGGGTGTACGTATTTATTTTATTTTTTGTATTAATTTTATATTGCTTGGACGGTTTTTTATTTTATTTTCTTGTATTTGCAGGTGGCTCTAGGTCAATGTTTGCGTTATCCACAATACGTATCTTTGGACCCGGCGTCGCCTGTGTCCGCTCCAGCCGATGTGAACACATTGCTTCAACTAGCTTCTCTCATGAACAAAATTGAAGGCGACAGGAGCGAGAGATTTAATTCCGACGATATAATTACCAAATTGATTGATGCGCTGATTTTAGTCGCTACGAAGAACAAATGTTCAACCAATGGCAAAGACTTAGTCAGCGTAGAACTTGGTTGTACTGACTTATTAAGTATTCTGTAAATTATTCATATGGATTACTTTCTCGTTTATTTGGAGTATTTTAGAACGAATGTTTTGTAAAATATCTTAAGTTTCCTTGTAATACATAAAAATTGTTAAAAAAAACATGTTTATATCGTTTTTTTATGATCTTATCGTTTTTCCGTTATTGCAATCAATTTGTAGTAGGGAATGCGTTTTTTGCGACCTTAGTGAAAATGTGATGTCACTAAATGCACAACACAACCCTCAATTATTAACTTAGGCATTACTTAAATCGGTATTTGGCGCAAGTAATGCCATTTTGCTGCATGTTATGGTAATTTCTTTGTTAGTTTTTATTTCTGCTTCTGGCAGCAGGTGCACTTTATCTAAATTTGGTTGACACAATACGTGACTATTTTATTATAGTATTCTAAAATTTTACATAATTAAGAGAGATCCGCAGTAAATAAATTATTAATTTTGTTTAAAATACTGAACCCTTAATAAACAATATTAAATGTGCTATGATAGGTTATAATTTACATGTAAAGGGTCGTATCTCTTTGTTTCGTAATAACGGACTATATAAAGAAGTTTTTTTAGTCCCGCGCCATTACTAACGGAGCTAAAATGGCGTTAATATATGCATTAACTTTTGCTTTGGCTGTATTTCTATCAGGGGTAAGTCATTATTTATTCATTTTTTTTAACTTGGAGTTGCTGTCGTAGATAAAATATGCTTCTCTATCTGATTAGAACCCTAGGGAAGTAGCTTAGGTAATATAATTTACCTATATTCTAAAATAACGTCAATTTCGTAACACATGTTTTATTCTCGTTCTCAGATGCAGGAAGCCCAATCTCTAACCCGTAGGTCGTGGTCATCGTGCAACTATGACGATTTGAACGTCCTTCTTACCCTCGCACGGGCTCTCGATGAAACCGAAAACGCAAGATTGTCATGCAGAAACAATATCGACGTCGAAGAAATCATTATGAAATTGATAAACGCTTTAGTGTATACCACTGTTAGCAACACTAAAAATGGAAGCGGAGGTGGAAACCGCAGCTCTGACGAAGCCCTTATCGATTTAGACTTGCTTAACCCTAACGATCCCGACAATATACTTAAACTAGATCTTGCGAAACAAAAATTGCTTGGTCTTGGGTTAGGTAACAAAAATACAGACTGAAATAATATAAATGTATTAGCCAAACAATGTTACGCGCAATAGTTTAATAATACTTGTAAGGAATTTCATGTTTAAACTTTTGTAATTCTATCACATTTTCTGAACAAAGATGTTACATAATCATTCTAAATATCAAAGGTTAATATAATAGAATCGGTGTTTTTTCATTAATAATCTAGTATGTATGAGCGTTCATAGTTTGCTACCCTGTAAAAATTTTATTTAATATACGAATTTAAAAATATATTTTCGTTTATCTCAATTTCTTTGTGATAACATTTATAGCAGTAGTGTTTAAGTCGTAAAAAACATGCAAATCTTTTATTAGTAAAGTGCTTTAGGTCAAGCGATATTAGAATATAAAATAAGATAGAGGATTTGTAATTACTGGGACGTATCTATCACCTTGATTTGTTGATTTAATGAGGAGGATCCCCATTACAAACATTTAAACGGAAGTTTCACTGATTTAAACTTTCTTAAAACATTTTACTTACCCATGTAAACGTAAAATGAAACGTATTGTAATTGACAAATATCACTTGACAACAACGGTTGTTCAAATTGACATTAGAAGCAGTTTGAAATTGATTTGTTTTGTTTTCTTTGTTTAAGTTAATAAAAAAAATAGTGCACACTTGTTTAAGAAATGAAGTTTACTACGTGACCATAGTTCTTATTTATTTTTAAGCAAATGTCAAAATGACTTCCGAGGTTGATTTTGCAAAAACAAATGAATTTATACAAAGACGAAAGTTGAGACTACAGCAGGTTATAATTTTCTATCATATCGTTTATATAGACAATTATGAAAGAAACGTAATAATGCTTAGAATTGCGTAATTTTTTAGGTTCGGGAACAGTCAAAAGATATTGCTAAGAAAATTCGACAGCGTGCTAAAGTAGAAACTTTGCGGCAAGTGAAAGACGTTGATGCACACAAAAAAAAGCAGTACCTTGAATGCCAAAAGCAGTTTGTGGACAAGTTGCAGGAAATTTATGCTAGAGGCTTAGAGGATGTGGGCAACGGTCATAAGAATGCATCAAAGCAACTTCAACAAGGTAACAAGCATTTTGATTAGCTAGAATTTTGTATGCATAAGTTAATCAGGGAAGACAGAAAGTTCTGTTACCTAATTTCTCGTACTAATTAAATTTAAGAAGGTGTGATAAGTGAAGATTGCTATACATCTTGTTGATTTGTAATTTTTTTTAGATTTTGAGAAGAAGATTGATAAGTCAAAATTAAGGGGTAAAGAAGCAGTGGCTGAAGTGAGACGACGAAAGCAAGAAATATTAGATAAGAAAAAAGAGTTGTTAGATAGAAAACTACTAGCTAGGTAAGTTTTATTGACTTGAGGTTACTAGGGTTTACTTTTTTATCATGAAATCATGATGTCATAAAAGTAGTCATGCATTGGAACTATAATTATTTAAAAATGTTGAACTGATTTTATTTCCATTTCAGGGAAGTGGCTAATGTAATAAGTAGAGAAAAATCTAATATTGTAGCTAAAACTCTTATATCAGACAAGGAGTCTAATTTCACAGCTAATTCAAAGGATCCTGAGCACAATAATATCCAAAACAATGTAGTTGAACCTGTGGAGAAGGTTGATACGGGAACACAGTTAAATCTGAATGAGCCAACCAATGGTTATCAGACAGATATACCAGAACTGTTGTTACCAGAGACTGAAACTATAAGGGAACCTGTTGATATACCAGAGAGACTGGAAAGAACTAAGAGACCAAATCTTTTTGCACTCAGTGACGAAATGCCATCCAGCTTACGAGGTGGTCCGGTAAACACTCCTGAGTTTCATCAAATGAAGTCAACTGTCAATATAGTTTCTGAACATATACAGAATAGACATCTTCGCCTCCGAGAAACAGAGGCAAAACTTAGTAAAAGGCAAGACGAGGAGTTGCAGAACATTAAACAGACAATAATGCGTACCAGAGCATCGAAACCGAAAGGTAATCCATCTGACAATGTGTGTCAAGTCCTGGACAATCAGGCCATCTCAGTTCCATCATGGAGAGCGGAGCAAAATTGTAAATTTTGTGTCAAATCCTCTGTAAAACCTGTTTTCCCCCCTATAAATAGCAGAAGATTTAAATCAATCATTAATTCCTCCATTAATAAGAATATTACATCTACAAGGTCGCCCAAAATATATTTTCCAATGCACAAATTAGAACAAAATGCATTTGCTACTAATGACTCCTACTCAAGGAGCTTCAAACAGCCAGGTGATATAGTGTAATTACTGAAATATTGAAAAGTAAAGTATGATTGTTTCACTAGTACATTAAACATTTGAAATAAGTTTAGTTTAGATCATCCAATTCATCTTTGGTCTTATTATTTGGTAAAAAAAGTACTTGATATATGTCATTATCTCTCCAGCTTTATCACACACACATACAGTCTTACAAATAAACAGATTATAAAGTAAAACTGAGTATAAGCAAATTTATTTATTTGTCAGGCTGATAGTGTTTAATAAACTTAATAATCATATTGTCACAAGGCTTTTTAAACCTTAATGTTTTGATTTAAGCCACCTACCTGCTGGCAACATTGCTTGGGGGAATTAAATCATCTCTATATGTTATATATAGTTACTGAAATTTTAGTTTTCTAAGAATATTATTTATTTTATTGTCCCTTTCAAAATTGTAGCTTACAAAATTGACTTTATATTGAAAATATCATATCTTTCTCATTTTAATATAGTGTTACATTTTATGTAATCTGATAATTACTTCAAATAGGTAGTTTAAACTATTTTTTTTTCAGTTACTGTAATAAACAAAGATAAATGCTCAAGTACAAATTCTATAGAAACAGCACAAAAAGGTTCAGTGACAATGTACAATCATATGACCAAGGACAGCAGGACCATGCTCAATAATGATGATAATTTAGTAATTCGAGAGGAAAATTTTGATGATGATGCATTTACAAAAGCAAGAAAAGAAGACACAAATGATAATGTCAAACAAAAAGAATTCCACAACAAGATAGCAGAAAGAAGGAATAAAGTTGCTGTGACTAAAGAAAATGTTGATAAAGAATATAGAGATACATTGGCATTTTTGAATTCATTACCTAAAGATATGTCGGATAAACCCATTGTAAGTATATTACATTTATAATGTAATTATCGTTATTATTCTAGAAATGTCCGGAAGAATAACAGCATGTTTTTCAATTCTGCTTTCAACTGGAAAAATAATTATTTAAATCCAGGTAGCTTCAAAGTTATCTTTCTAAAAACTTCAAACTTATCTAGATTTATATCTATAGAAAATGTTTGGTTTATTATTATAATGTAGGGTTATACATTTTTTTAATTTTTTACAGAGAAATGCATTTATGGATGAAAATCGACAGCAACAGTTGAAGGATAAACGGGAACTGAAATTAAGGGATGAATATAGAAATGCAGAGAAACAATGCAGAGGTCATCATAAGTGCAGGGTAATAAAATATTACTTTATGCTTAATTATTAATATTTAAAAATTGTTAAATTGCTTAGTTATATGTTATCACAATTGCTGTCCAATTCTAAATTACTTCACAGAACCTTTATTTTTTTATGGCTTCATGTACTAAATTTCATTTAATTCTCTGTAGCACATAAAATGTTGTCAAAGTACTTCAAAATCGGCAATGAATAAAAACGAAGATTCAAATGATGATTCTCAATACACTTGGATACCTGTGCCGGAAATACCAAAGGCACAAAGTAGTGAGGCAACAAACAAACATGGCAACACTGTTAAGTTCAGTAACAGGAATGATTACCATGAGTACAGATCAAGTCGGAAACATTCCCCACCAACTAAAGATATTCCCGTCAAATCTAAAGTATCAAATAGATATATTGAAACAGCAATAATCAAGGAAATGGGGGAGACAACCGATTGCTCGTCAATCGTATCGGATACTACGACATCTGAAAATTTTTCACTAAACAGAAGAAACAAACAAGATATTGTTCAAGAATTGGACCCGAAACTGACTGATTCTGACAGAATTATCATTTATAAAATACTGAACTCGAAAAATGATAAGAAGAAAAAATGTCAGAAAATTAAATCGTCTGATAAAGTGAGGTGTGTTCAAGAGACGATTGAATGTGAAAATGAAAAATCCACGCAGAAAGTTGAGGAAAGCAACATGAAAAGCAAAACATCATTTGATCAACTAACTGAAGGTAAAATACATTGTGATTACTAGTACTTTCAGTCGGGATTTTTTTGACAGTACGCTCGTCCTTTTCGACAAATTTAAAATTGTGTTCCAATGATTTCATTTTTTTACAGGAATCTACAAAACTGTTAACAAAAATGGGTAAGTGGATTCATAATTATTTGATTTACAATAAAAGATTTGAATATATAATTTAAAACATGGCTAAATTCACGTGGCAACCTTCATTGTAGGCTAGTTACAGACCCTTTGGGGGGTCCTTCTTCAGTATGAGTGGTTACCAGCTACCCTGAAGAAGGACCCCTTAGAGGTCTGAAACTGGTTGGTGCCTACATCGAAGGTTACCACGTGAGTTTAGCCGTGTTGTAAATTATGTAGTATGTCTCACGAAAGTTTTAATAAGTTAGTTAGGATTTGAATACCTGAAACTAATGCTTATCTTCAGTCAGGTTTATACTAAAATGAGTATTTACACATCTAACTCTGAGGAATGGTATTTGCCAGGGGATAGAAGTCCATGGTGGTAAATATAAAAAAAGAACATTATAAAATAATGTAGAATAAAATGATATATTTAATTTGATTTTCAATTTGAGTACGTAAATTTAGTACACTATGTACAGTATATGTGTTATCAAGATTAATAAACCAAAGTATGTACAAATGTAAATATTGCTATCCTAGTAATGTTAAATGTAGCAATCATTTGCCCTTGCAGACTAGGATAATATTCATTAGTAATTAAGTTCACCGTTTCTTGTAGTCTTAATAATTGACATTAATAACAAATTTGACTTGTGAGGCGTAATTTGTATTTTTGCTTGTGTCATAGAAGTATATTTAGAAGAGTTAAACTTATGTTAGGGCTCCATTTAAAATGTGTTAATATTATTTGCAGGGACAATTTGACTTCCTTGCAAGTGTGTGATCCAAGCTCATCTGATAAGGATCAGCGGGGCGAAGGTGTGCGTCAGTGTCAGTGTGTCAAATTGCATTGTCCAGGTATACTGCTTAGAAAAATATTGTATAAATCAGTTATTGAATAAGTTGAGGTCTTCAAACTTATAATGAAATTAGATACACATTCTAGTATAAAAGAGTTCCCTCGTACTATGTGTTTTCAATATATATCTTTGGACTAATTCTATGATGGTTTTAATTTTTTTAACATATATTCTTTAAATTTTGTTGTAGATGTCCACTCTCGGAATGTTGAGACTGACACAGGTACCACTGTAAGGTAAAATTCTTTTTATTTATAATTTCTAACACTGGCATTTTTAGTGTTTTTAAAATTATTAACCTTAGCTTTTGTTAAAAAAAATCTTTTGATCAAATCAATTGTTAATTTTTAGAAAAAAGATTAAAAATCATTTCATATATTTAGGTGTGTTTAAAAAACTTTACTCTGTTTCAGGCCTGTTTGTAATTGCCAATGTGTGAATACAAATCATTCAGAAGGACCAACGATTCACTACCCCTCAGCTGCTACCTCCACTACGTCTCTTAAAGTTGGCGAAACTGTTGCACCTAAGAATGGTTGTATAAAGGTTATTGATGACGTCTGCCAAGAGAATGGAAAGTTTTATGTTGGGACCACAGGCTACCTAAAAGATGAAGCCTATGAAGTAATCATACAACTAAGAAAAAAAGAAAACGCAAATCCCGTTAGTACCGCTCAAGAAGAAAAAAGTAAGAATCAAGAAGATGCAAATAAAAATACTAAGAATGAAGATGTGCCAGCCTCAAATCCTGCGCCAGAAGTCGATATTAATGAAAATTCAATTCGTGAAGTTACAAAAACACATACAGAGGAGACAACTGTCCCATCGACTAAAGTTACACCCCCCAAAACAACGGACGCAGTTTCTGAAAAAACTAGCCCCCAGAAATCAAAATCGGTGAGCAGTCAAGATGAGCGCACAGATACCAACACTGTGTCTCCTAATAATATCCCAACAAACACAGTTCCAAAAAAAGCTACTTCGACCTACACGCAGACAAGTTCTCCAATTCACAAACCAATTTTCATGCACATGAGTTCCACATCGACTGCGTATATGAGCCCCCCGGATATTATCAGGCCGAGATTTTCAAAACGTGATTATGATGCTTCGTACGATGAAACTTATGATTCAATAAAGGAATCGCAAAATTCTACGTCCTTCAAGAACTTTAAAAGCTGTAACTGCAAACATGGTGAGAGAAGAAAAAAATCAACACATGCGGTTGATGCTACGAAGAGCAACAAGCTAAAATATCAGGTCGAAGATTTGTTCACATCTAACAATATAAGCAGTGCTGGTGAACTAAGTGACGCTTGTAGTAAAAATTATAAAACTACGACAGATAGTATTTATTCAAGGATATGTTGTGCATGCAGCAAGACTAAAACTTGTCACAAACATAAAAAGGAAGCAAACGCAGTTAAAATTTGTAATCATCGGAAACCTGTGTCACTACGCGATGTACCGAGTAAGCATGTGAAATATTTGAAGGCTAATGCATCGAAGAGAAAACCTAAAACTCCTTTAAATCCCTTGATTAAAGACTATGTAAATAAATTATTAGAACTTAATAAAGAGGGCATGAAGGCTATTGAAATAATAAACGAGGAATGCAGCTCCGTACCTACACCGAGCAGTTCAATTATAAATGACACTCTTAACTTAAAAGGCAAATCATTAGCCGAGAAAAAAATATCATTGGAACATATTAAAAATATTCTGAAAGAGAAAATTATTAATGATCTTCAATTTAACGATGCACCGCCAGCTACACGAGTTAACGATCAAACAAACAAAAATTCAAAACCCCATACAAAATTACATAAACGAAAGCAAATGCATAAAGTCAAGTCATTGAATATTTCCAAAAAGGTTTCTACGACAAATGAATGTAAAAATTATTTACACGAATTTCAATCCTCCAAATCGAACACAACATCTTCGTCTTATAAAAACGATACCAGCGACCAGCCAGAAAGTTTAGTTTCTAAAACCTGTAATAAAAACGATGAGAAAAAACCTACACAACCACATAAAATAATGAGAATCGTACAAGAACCGCAACCGGCATATGAAAATAACATAGTTTCAAAAGGTTCGATACCGCTTCGATGCAGATCTGATAACCTGCCTCCTTCCTCAGATTCAGAAAACACAATTAAGAAGAATCGTCAAGATAAATTACACATTCTGCCTTCTAACACATCGACACAAACTAATGCTTTTGTTTCCGAAGACAATCTCGTTAAAGAAGCTGAAGGTAAACTTCAGAATATGGAAAAGATTGCGGATCTAACTGAAAAATGTACAAAACGTTTATCAAACCTGGCCAAGGTGCTCGAAGAAGTAAGACGAAACAAGTCTTTATTCTATAGTCAAATAACATCATCCGATTCCACCTCGGACTCCGACGCAGAAAGAAATAGAAGAAAAACTACAGAAAAATCGATATCACCAACCGTTATTGTTTCTGAAATTCACAAGCCCTCTGCTCCGATAGTTGAGAAAGAAAATAACATCGACCATAATACGTTCACCCCGTTACTTTCCGATATTCCGAAACCAATAAATTTCATGAGTCCACTATCTGAAGCCGATTCTATGACCACACTTGCTTCTAGCAAAGAAAGTTTAAATATAGAAAACCCTAATTTCAAGCCGAAGTCTAAGCCGCCGCCAGCCTTATCGAGGATTTATTTCAAAAATGAACAAGAACATATAATTCCCCATGAACTCTCGACGGTGTTGGAGGTGGATTCCCCTATGAGTTTAAAAGTAAAAAGTCAATCTCGCAATGATATTAATTCTGAAGTTAATTCTAATGCTTCAGTTAAAAGCGTAGACAATATTAACACAGAAAATGCCCGTAAGAGCGCATTAAATATTTCTCCTTCTACTTCGAGAATGGAATGCCTAGAAACAGATTCATTAAAAGGTAAGAAGAGTGCATCGAGGAAACTTTCTAAGACTCAAGATTTAAATGGTGATTCTTCTGACAATTCTAAGCTACCTATGATGGATATGAAGCAATTTAATGATATTATGCTAAAACCGTTTATCAGTATTAAAGAATTTACTAAGAAAAATAAATTAGAAAATGGTGACGTATCTAATTTGGAGGATCATTTAAAAGGTGTTATAACAAACGATGACTTGAGTTCATTACATTCCGAGAATAGTTTACCAGACGTTATAGCTGAGTTACTGAAACGAAAAATTATCAATGAACCTTTTAAATTTGACACGGCGTCTAATGTTAACACGAGTAGCACATCAGAATCCTCAATATCTTTGTTAGCTTTGTCAAACCGAGAAAAGAAAAGAGTAAATGTACACCATGGGAAAAAAGTTAATGTTGAAACTTCTGATACATTGAGTATCTCTTCAAATCCCGATTTAGAAAATGCATTCCAAAAATTAGGTATGGGCTGGGCTTCGTCTACTCTTAAAAAAACTAAGGAGCGCCTTGCCCTCTCGTCTTCATCAAATACTTCCAGCTCGAGTGGGCCTCAATCTCGAAGTAAAATTGGTAGTATCTCTCAATCGAATGCTGATTACATTTTAGCGTTACAACATCATATTAACACTAGGCGAAGCTCGAAAGACAGCGACCCCTCTAAAAATGCTGAACAACAAACGTCTTTGTCCAATTCTATGACTGTTAAAGAATTTCTTACCAATCAACTTGCTAAGAAAATAACGTTTATAAATCCATCTAAAGACTTGACTGAGCAAGAATTTATTTCTCTATATGAGACTAAGATGCCGGAAGAAATGAAGAAAATAGTAGAACATGATCAATCTGGGAACAGTGTAGGGAACTGCACTGGCAACAGAGCACGGACCTCCACGCCTGTACAAATTTTTAGATCAATGACGTACAATTCCACTTCAAGTTCGAACACTTCGAACGGCTTATTCAGTAACGCCGATGACTTGTCGTCTGTAAAGGTTACTTCAAATTCCATTCGAAATCATTCCACTTCAGACAAAGATGACTTGACCATTCCAAATTATGTTTTAAAAGTCAGTAAAGGGCAATCTGATTGTAGTAAAAGTGATTAGTTGACGTTGTATAAATATACAAGATTACATTTGATAAAATATTTAATTATCCTAGCTTAAATATGTTAATATTGTTTTCTTGCAAGATTTATATGTATGTTGTTAATGAATTACAATTATTTATTTTCGTTATTGTTTTATTTATTACTCCTACAGTATCAAACGAGATTACGGCAGGGGTTGAGTCTGAAGCGAAGCTGAACACTATTCCTGGAAAGTGATGTTATTGTAAAGTACTAGTGCAGTGAAAACTTATGGCCAGCATAGATGTAGCTGAATAATGTGAGCTGTAATTTATTATTGATAGTGAAGAAAAGGGACAGATCAGTGACACCTCCCGAGATATCTATTTTGTGAATGAATGAAATAAGGTTAAGGAATAATTAAAAGGATTTAAAGCTTGAATCATTTAATAAATAAATTAATTCTTAAAATTAAATATGTTACACATATCACAAAATTTAAACCAGACCTCGGACAAAAGAAAACTACATACATTTCTAATGATCACAGAAGCTGAGCTTTGCTCCGAATTAATACAACTAAGCTAAACCAATATCTAAATCAATATGTGAATTGTTAAAAAAAAATAAATACTACAAAAATAAAATGAGATATTTTGAGATTTCTGTTGGTTCCAAACATTGTGAGATTTTGAGGTAGCAAAGTTAAGCTTTAGACTGGTTTAAGTAATTTGACTAAATTAATACAAAATATCATTATTCGGCTTTGTCATCTTTGAACAAATGTTTCTTGGCTAATGTGTATGCTAAGCCCAATGTTAGTGCAGACACGACTGTGCCCTGAGCTGCTACACGAAGTTGCATTAGAAACACACTTGTGCTCATTTCACCTCTAGTCTTGAATTTATATGCCCCAAATCCACAAACGCCAATAAGGCCAATGATACCTGGAACATAAAATCGGTTTTAATATCTTCAACATTGATGTTTCAAAATGGTATAAGTTATGAAATACAAATTCTTGTTCTTTTGGATAATGTGATATAACAAATATTGTTTTTTTATTATCGTGTAACTTTTTCTTATTAAAACTACACTATTCAGTATATGTCCTACAGAATATATACTGAACAATTCTTGAAAACAAAGGGCTTACCTATTATCATAAAAGGTGAATCTTTAGATTTTCTGGCTAACTTGTCAGCATGAGATTCATCTCGATAGTCAAATATTGGCTGAGAGTTTGCCATTGCTAATGAAAGTAAAAAAATAATCGTTAAATAAATAATTAATACAACAACAACAAAAATAAATATTAATGAATACTTTCAATTTATAATATTTACCTTTATTATGAGATTTATCGTATTGGGCTACCAATTATTAAATTATATAATATTTTAAAAAATTTATTACATTGCATCACCCCCTGCCTAACCTTGAAAATTTTTTTCCATGTTAATTTGTCACTGTCATTAAGACACATGCGGATGACATTTTTGTTATTTTTCTTGGATTTAGGCAAAGACGCAAAGCACATTTACACTTTGAACTTAAAAATGAATATTAATAAATAAAAACTCAACTGTTTTCAAAACTTGATGAACACTTTATAAAACAATAATACCGTAAAAAAAATATACCTTAATAAAATAAAACATCTCTAGACCGATATACATTTTAAACCAAATATTTTTATTTTAATGTTCTAATAGGTTACAAATTAAACAATAGTTTCAAATTAGATATTATTTAAAAAAGGTATAAAACTTTTATTTTAAAACATAAACTGTATAAACCACGTGAATATATGTAAAAAAACCACGTTAATTACATTTGGAATTGATAGATACATCTCGGTGTATGTATTATTTATAAAGTTTGTATATAATATTCATTTCCATTTGTAGAAACAGATTGTACTAGGTTTGTAGCGACAATCAAGACTGAGACAGATTACGCTTTAGACATAGGATAACTGCGACATTTTCATTAATTTCTAGAATATGGCAAATTACCAATAACTATCGTGCTTTCTATAGTTCCTATTACATAAAATTTGGTCCCATCTTGGACTTTATACATATTTTTTATTAGGTTTAGAGTTACACCTGGGTGTCAACGTTGATTCGCGAATTACCACTATGAATAATATCGTCGGATTTCAGCCAAAATACTTTCATATGTCGATTCATCTATTATAATAAACCTTTTAGCTCGTCTACTGAAGTAAAAAATATCCCCAGTGTATATATCAAACCAAAGTGCATGAATGTGTAAATCGTGTTTCTCCAATCGCTTCTTTAACATTCCGTATGAAGCTATATTTTGTAACTGTTGCAGAGTGTTGACCTGCAAATAAACAAATAGAACTTAATTTTTGTTAATCAAACCAAATTAGCACAATTTTTATACTTTATAGGACCATTTTGACGGACAGATTAGATTCATTTGGATCTGAATTGAATGATTTGATATTAGTTTAATTTAATTCATTGCTAGGCATTTAGCGCCAAAGTAGAAGAGCGAAATATGAGAAAAAAAACTATCATTTCATTTCGATAATCGTATACTCCAAATAAGAAACACTTTTCGTATGATTGAGACTGAATGAAAATATAGTTAGAAAATATTAACTTTACGACAAAATGTCTAACCTGTGATAGTTTATCTTCAATGCAAAATTTATTTTCTGGATCGATATAGGCAACAAATTTTCGTTGTGGAGTTTCAGCTGTGAATAACATAGGCTTATCAAAGTCACCATTCATTTGTAGAAATTTATTCAGGCTGGTTTTGCCATGCGCACATATCCACGACTTAAGGGGAGATATTCTTCGTTGTTCCTGTGATTTAAGCAAACATTTATCGATAAGTTAATAAAACAATAAGTGTTAATTTTTTTACATTGATATGCCTAAATTACAAGGATACTAACGAGATTAGATTCTTCTTTACTCTTAAGTCTATATAATAGATTCATTGCTTTGCAGTCGCTATGCCCGCAAACTATAACATGCCTTATATCATTTACGATACAGCTTAGCTCTAGTCCTGCTGGTTCACAACTTGTCATTTCATCTACAAAATATTCAGAATGCGGAATAAGATTTCCAGCATTTCGCACTGTAAGAAAGACAATAATTAAAATATAATATATTCGAGACTATAATTATAATGCATTATGTTAGAATTAGTTATTTGCTATCTGAATAAAGACGTATATGAGACACGAGCTGTCGCCCGCAAACTTCGTTATCGCGGTTTTTATTTTAAAAGTCATCTATCACATTCCCGCGTGCATCTACCTTATACCGGCTATCTTCCAGTCAAAGTCCCGTCCAGATCGGTCCACCCATTCCAGAGATAGCGGTCCGGTCGCCATTTTGACAGCACG